CAAACAAATTTGTAATAAAATCAAACTCCAACATTGTGAAAATTTTATACTATAATCTGAATTTATTTGAGCTACTGTATTAGTTATAAAGGGATCAGAATCAAATTTAGACATCTTAAGCTTTTCATGTTCCATTTCTGGGTCTGAAGTGTTGGGAAATTTCATTAAAATGATATATTCATAGAGAAAGATTTTGTATCTTGTACTCTTGTTGAGCAAGTACTTTTGAATTCTGTAGTGCATGTATAAAATTATTACACTAAGATATTGTTTGCCTGAAAAATATCTATTCAACATATATTATCTGTGTGTCTACTATGTGCTTAGCCATTATTACTTTCCTTACAAGGTTTATTTTCTAGAGGATCTTGATAAAATAATTAACCATATGATAAAATACATATGTTCTAATATATATGTATTCATGGTATAATTCTAAATGCATATATGTTTATAATTAAATTTTGATAAATCATACTGAAGTGATAAAATAATGCTTTTAATGAATATAATTATGTATTATAAAATAATATACTTAACCGTTGTCAAACCAAGTTGGTTTTATAGCTCATCCATATTTGGTGTTATACTAATCTCTGTCATGATTTTTGTGTTGTCTTTAAAATTTAGGATGGTTTTCTTGAGAAGCTAAATTCCATGGAATTCATAACACTTTCTAGATTAATGGAAACATTCATTTTAGACACTGAACAGATCTGTGGAAGAAAAAGTATGTCATTACTTGGAGCACTTCAGAGCCAAGCTAATAAATTTGTAAATAGGTTTCACGAAGAGAGAAAAACCAAACTGAGGTATCATTACCTGTCCATTCTGTTCTTCAAATTTTTTTCCTTTGCTTTACAAAATTCTGTTATATTTAAAAGAGGAAATTTGATTGACTGGTTAGCCAAAATTCCCGATAAAATTTTTTTTTTATTGAAGACAGATTATGGAATTAAAATCACATTTTTTGGCTTTTCAAAGTGGGTTAGAATGTTTACTTCCATTAAAGTACTTATCAGGAAGATCCTCAATAGGTTGACTTCTTTTTTTCCACTCAAAGTTAAGTAAATGATGTTTCATCATTCTTTTTGGTTAGCATTTTAAAAATCTTATGTGCTCAGCTCTTCCTCCTTTTCTTTTCAACCAAGGAAGATGGTATTGAAATACTAAAGTTTACTTTCCTTTTTATTTTTGAATAGTCTTCTCTTAGACAATGAGCGCTGGAAGCAAGCTGATGTTCCTGCAGAATTTCAGGATCTTGTTGATTCTATATCAGATGGAAAGATTGCTTTACCCGAAAAAAAATTAGGAGGTATGTGTATTCATTCACACATTGTCTTTCAATTTTATATTTGTTTATTTTGTATGAATGCTTAATATTTCCTTAATTGACAATGCATATTGAAAAGCCTAAAACTAATACTCCCAGCTTAGTTAGTAAATAGTTAACAGAAAAAGTGTCTATGGAAATTTATAATAATAATTTCAAGTATTTATTGAGTGTTAATCATATACCAGACACTGGACCATGTGCTTTACATGCATTACTCTAGTTTATCATCACAACAACCTATGATGACGGTACAATTGTTACCTTGTGTAACAGTGAGGAGGCTTAAGGCTTAGAGGGGTTAAGTAATTTTGTATAAATGATGATCTGGGATTTGAAATCAGCTTTATATAATTTTATAGCTATATTCTTAACTATTATATTGTTTAGAGACATATATTCATTCAGTGAACACTAGTTGGCTTCTTTATGTCATATATTGAGACAGAGATAACAGTTATAATTCTGCTTTGAAGAAGCTAGATCTAATGAACAAAATCAAAAAATATATAAGCAATCACAAGTAATGTAGTTATATGATAGAGAAAACTGAAATGTTAAAGAACCATAAAAAAATAAAACTATGAAGGGGTGACTAAGGAAGAAATCCAGAAGAACATAGAAGTAAAAAGTTTCAATGAGAGAATTGTCCATTGGTATCAAATACTGATTGGGTTTCATTATGAAAGGGATGCAGTGGCTGGGGGTTATGTTTGTATATCAGTTAAAGTGGAGTCATCATGTGGTAATAATGTAAATTGATTTACAACACATCCTATAATACCAGATTTGATATTATGAAGTTCTTGAATATTTTTGATAGAGGAGACAGTTGCATTATTTCAAATTTTATGCATTTAATGAAAGTTTAATATTTCTATATAGAAGTATTTTTAAATGGTATACTTCACATTTGCATGAAATGCAACTACTCTATAAGAGAAAGACTGAGAAAATATAAATAGTGACCATTAGACACATAGATCATTTGCAATCTTAGTAATTCATTGGAGTGTTAGCAGTTCAGTGCTAAGTAACTGGGAAGGTGAGGATAGGTAGACAAATGTAGCCTACTTTTTCAACAATTTTCACTGTGAAGGAAAAGTGAGTGATGAAGTGGTAGCTAAAGAGATAACAGAAATTAGACATATTGAGGGTGATTTATGGGGTGGGGCACCTGATGTTGAATCCAGAGTTCAAGAGAAAAGCTACATCTTCTACCACTATGACAGGAGAGAGGGAGTTAAGGACAGGTGTAAAATAGATTTGTTCATACAGGGCGGAGAGAACTGAAGGAAATAAGCAAATTTCTGTTGTGATCATTTTTAACAGGTAACAGTGTTGGTTGGTGGTTAAATTTTTAAATTGGTTATATGGTATTAGCAAAACAAAAGCATTGAAGTAGCAAAAGATGAAGGAAAAATAAAACACCGACTATTCTAAATCACCAGTTTAAAATTTTAAGATATTACACATCTATTCTTTCAAGCTATATTTGATTGACTTCCCATTATGTGAGGTGCTGTGCTAGGTAACTAGGACATATTTTCTGTCCCTGAGCAGCTAATGTTCTTTTGTATAATGCCATTGTTTTACAAACAATGATTTTTGAATTAAAATCATAAATGTAGAATAATTAACTGTTAACTATTTTTTCTGCAAAGTGGACTATTCACGTTTACTTCTTCTTAGAAGGATACTGATAGTAGGAGATATCTCTTACATACCTTGCTTCTCTGTTGCCTGGGCTAGAATGCAGTGGAGTCATCGTAACTCACTGCAACCTCAAACTCCTGGGCTTAAGTGACCCTGCCTCAGCCTCCCTAGTAGCTGGGACTACACAGGTGCTAGTGCCACCACTCCTGACTAATTCAGTCTCTCTCTCTCTCTCTCTCTCTCTCT